GGCCAATTTTGGGTATTATCGTTTTTTGAGGTTTCGCGCGCGCACGCAATTTTAAGGCTTGACATGTTTAGTGTCTTTTTACCCGACGTGACCCCATCTTTTATATTTTACCAAAAAATTGGGTAATAATAAATGTTTTATCATTTAATATAGGGGAAACTGTTTTTTTTTTTAAAATTTCGGTAATTTTTCCTTAATATAGTAAAAAAATAAAACCCCCAGTGGTGAATAAATACCACCAAAAGAAAGCTCTATCTGTCCCCAAAAAAGGGTATAAAATTCATTTCAGTACAGCGCTGCATGACGGAATAAATGTCAGTTAAAGTACCGCAGCGCTGAATACTGAAAAATGGCCTGGATGGGAAGGGGGTTTAACACCGCGGATGTCAACTGGTTAAAGTCTGGGATTAAGAACTCAAGTATACAGGTCTACCTTCCCAGCTAGATTTTTACAATACACTTATCACTTACCTGTGTAAAAGTAAACAGGCACAGTCCTACTAATCTAGGCGCAGCACAACGTGAAGCAACACAAATCATAGAATCAGAAGTCGTATTTTCATGGTTTGATTGGTTGGGTAAATAACAGAGCAGGTGGGAGCAGCCCATGATCAAGCAGGTGGACAGACCTCAGAAAACATGTGAAGCCAAACCCAATGGAGCCCCCAAGGAATAACGGTCCTATATTTATGAACTGATATTCCAGGTTTGCTGGACTGAATGTTTAGTTCTAGCTGTTTTAGCCCAATCTACAGTATTTTTGGGCCTATGTCATAGTTTTTTGTACATATTTTAAATTTTGAGCCCCGATACTCACAAGTCACATTATCTTTCAGGCACTGCATTACCATTAAATAGTGGTGATTTATCAGAAAACTGTACGGCAAAGTAAGAAAAGACTCAGCAAAACACTGAATATTACTTGCCTGGCACAAGTCAAAGTTATAAGTATTTGTAAGCAGGTTTCAGAATGAAAATGTCAGTCAGCACACAAAAGCATGTGCCAAAACATTTACAGTACACTCCATAACAGTTTTTTTCCAATCATCTTCAGCAGATATGAAGCCTGTAATATGTCTTTGTCATCCCAGGCATTGGCAGAAGATGAATTAATGGAGCTTCACTATAGAAATATTATGTGGGGAACTGGAGTTTTTGGCATCACTCCTTTTGTACAGCTCAAACAAGGATGTATAGTCATTACAGAAGTATAATTGGTGCTAGGCAAAATGGATAATGATTACTGTTCCAGTGATACTGTCACTTATGCAAAAGCCATAAAACACAAATGACTTGCATATATAAGGAGTTAATTATTCATGCCTTGTTTGTGCTCGGCTTTATTTGGATCAGGCCATGAGGACCTGGACTGGCACTTATTGATTTGCAAGGTGAACACGCCCCATCTTTGGATAAATGCTTTGCGACTTTGTATTGAGTGCCGGCAAAAACAAGATAAACCCACCTGCCTGTGTACAAAATATTTATGTGTAAATGTGGAACTGAAGATTAATAGGACAGGTATATGTATTTCTATCTACTTGTATG